TCAGCCAGCCAGCCCTGCAGGGCGTCTGGAGCAGCGGCACAGACCCGGAGCTGCGGCCCAAAACTGCTACTTCTCGCTACCCTGAGGGACACTCTCCCTTCTGAGGGGGCAACTCACTGTGGGGTCTTTATGGAGGGAGTTCAGGGGGAGGGAAGGCCTGGGATTAAACTAGATAACTCACTGCTGCATCTTTAGTTGACACCTCCAGAAAGGAGAAAATACATTAGCACAGACAATTGAAGGAGGAACTTTTATTTTAAAAAGGATTGAAATCGGGCTGTGTGGTGGCTCACACCTGCAATCCCAGCACTTTGGGAGGTCGAAGCAGGTGGATCACATGGTCAGGAGATCAAGACCATCCTGGCCAACATGGTGAAACCCGGTCTCTACTAAAAATACAAAAAATTAGCCGGGCGTGGTGGCACACACCTGTAGTCCCAGCTACTCAGGAGGCTGAAGCAGGAGAACTGCTTGAACCCGGGAGGCAGAGGTTGCAATGAGCTGAGATTGTGCCACTGCACTCCAGCCTGGGTGATAGAGCGAGATTACATCTCAGAAAAAAAAAAAAATTACTGAAATCAAGACTTCAAGCCATTCTAGTGCTAAGGCCCAGGAGAGGGTACTTCGCTTTCTAAGTCCTCCTTTCCTTGCACAAGGTCTCTTGTGTCACCTGAAAATCTCAGTTCCATTTTCTGGGCCCTGGGGAAACACGAAGGGCTTAAAGAAGGGGAAAAGCACAGTCCAGCTGAGACTTTCCACACCACCCTCGGTATCTGCGTGTGTAAAGAACGGATTTGAGGAGAGCCAGATTTCTGGCTCACAGATTCATCAAGAGGCTCCTACATGAGATGCCAGACAAGGACCTGTCCCAGAACGGTGGCTCAAGGAAGACAGAAGAGGGGCAGCTGCATACGTATAAAATGAGTCACATGGGGAGAGCCTGTGAATGAGTACAAAGGGTGAGGAAGGAGAAGGATGTCTGGGTGACTCCCCAGTTTCTAGACTGGATGGGCAATGATGTCACCAACTGAGACAGAAAATACAAAGGGACAGAAAGATGAGGTTGAAGAAATCTAGGTCATGTGATAAATAATTAGAGAAGAAAGATAATTGAAAAAAAGGAGGATTTGGGAGTGAGAGCGCTTTCAAGTCCTAGCTCATTACTTACGGTGTGGAAGCCTTGGCCTCACTTTAAAGACAGGAAAACCTAGTCTTGCTGGGACTGATGTGTTAATATTCACTTGGGGTGGCTGGCAAAATACTAAACATTAGGAAAAGTTATACACTGTAATCTCAAACCTTTTGGAAGGCCAAAAGGTTTTATTGGGGCAACCTGAAGGCAGGTGCCTCATTTACATCAGCATAGGCAAGAGAGAGAGACAAAAGCTCTCCCAGCTTAAGTCTGTTTTCCCCACATCCCTTGGTCTCCACTGTTTACTCCTGTAGATTTTGTGCTGGGGGCCCTCTCTGGGAGGATCAAGGGGAAATTACCAGTTAGTAGTACTTACTCTGGCCCTGGAACCTAAAGCTTTTAGTAAAACCATTCTTTTAACCACGTTAATTATCCACAAGCATGTTAACTTAGCGCCTCTGTTGTAAAATTTGACAATGTGTGGATAACCCGGGGAGTCTTGGTCTATTGGCTTCAGTCACCTTCTGAAAGCAGCCGCTGACACCCCTGGCCCACCTGAATCACTGTAATGGTGTGAGAGTGTGTTATTCATCCGTCACTGAGTCAGGGTCTGCAGGCCAGACCTCTCTGCAGGTGGTGGCCAACGTCTCACTGATGTGAGGATGAGGACACACAGGTCCCACCCAGTGAACTATTACTGCCATTGTTTACAGCATTTTCTTTGGTGTGATTCTGGATAGAATATCTTTGGCAAGTTTTCAAAACTCTGTGGTGATGATTCCTGTTGGGTGTCAACTTGGCTACACCACAGTACCGAGATAGGTGGTCAGACACTAGTCTGGATGTCGCTGTGAGGGTATTTTTGTAGGTGAGATTAAGTTTTAAGCCAGTAGACTCTCAACAAAGCAGATCACCCTCCATAATGTAGGTGGGCTGCATGCAGTCAGTGGAAAGTAAGTAAGAGAAAGGACCCACCTCCTCCGGGAAGGAGGAATTCCGCCTGCCGCCTCCCATCAGGCACAAGCTGCAGTTTCAGCTCTACCCCATCCCCAGCCCGTGGGCCAGCACTGCAGACTTTTGAACTGCCCATTCCCGCAGCGGTGTGAGCCAATTCTTTAAAATAAATAAATCTATGTATACATACATACATACATATATATGTTATAATCTAGATATGTATATATTCCTGTGTGTCTGCATGTACGTATCTGTCTGTATCTATCTCTACATCTGTATATCTCCTATTGGTTATGTTTTTCTAGCACGCCCTAAAAGATCTTCGTAGATTTTCCTCCCATCTGTTGTGAATGCCTTTTCTCCTCCTAAAGCCAAAGCCAAGGCTATCTCAATGGTCACGATACAGAGAGTGAGTTTTGCTAATGAATCAAAACACTGCACTGTTGCGGTCAACGCAACGGAAGACCATTGTTATGGTACAGATGAAAAGCCACCCAGCAAACTCCCATCTGCAGCGTGGAGCTGCCCCCAGGAAGCGCCTGTCCAGACAGCCAGTGCCTGCCACGGCTACTAGATGGGGCCTCATGACAAGCTCTCCTGAATGGTTTGGAAGGCAAGCCATGAATGTCACTTTCAGGTGAAGAAAATTAAGCTGCTGGGGTTCCTCTTCTCTTCTCTATTCCCTTCCGCTGCTTCCAGGGGATCCCACAGGCCTAGGAAACACTAGGGCCCTCAGGTGAAAGGAACCAGCTCCCTGAGTCCCTCTATGAAGGACGCAATCACCGGCTGAGCCTGCCCCGGACAGGGGCCAGAGCAGCCTTGCCCTGAACTGAGCCATTGAAAGTCAGGGGGTTGCTGCAGCAGTTAATGTCACCCTAATGAAAACCCAACCTCCCTACAAAAGGCAAGAAAATCAGTCCAGCTTGATGAACCCCTTCTCCTTTGCCTGGGGGCTGGGAGGAAATTAAGTCCATGAGAGGTCAGCCCTGACTGCCTCCCAGAGAGGAGGCTGGCCCTGCTCCAACTACTGCTGCAGGGCTGGGGAGCAAGTATCCTCAACACTCTGCTCCCGAAGGTCCCCCTGCTGCTATGTCCTCCTACTGGGATGAGCCCTGAGACCTCGGCCTGCTCCCCTGGCTTCCCTGGGACACCCCTGAGCCACCACCACAAGGAGTCATAACTCCACGTCAGCTCTAAACTCATGCATCCTGTGTGGCAAAATGCCCGGCCCCGTGAGATTCCTTATGCTGGGGCCAGGGCCGGGGGTGGTGTGCGGGGGTGACTGGGTGATGGACGTCACTCCTCTCTTGTCTTTTTGTCCACACACCCACTCTGCAGAAGGCGGCTTTCCTTTGTTTGGAGAGCTTAATCTGTCTGCACCATGAAGGTGGGTGTGGAGGGATGAGGCAGCTGTCCCCGTGTCACTGAAGGCAGCACAGTCACCACACTGCACACCCCGAGGATGTCAATCCTGCAGTCGGCCTATTCACTGCATTTCCCCTCTGCACCAAGAGCCATCTTCAAAATAATCCAGCAAGATGCTGGGTGCAGGTGGCGGGTGGGGAGATAACTGACAAAATAAGAGAGGCCAGACGTTGACATCCGTTGAAGCCAGATGAGGGGTACGCAGGGGTTCACTAGAGCAGTCTCTACTTTTACGTATGTTTGAAAGTTTCTAACTCAAAATATTTTTCTGAAAGGAAATGTCTTCTATGGGCCAAGATACAGCAGAAGAGGAGCCTCGGAAGACTAAGGCCACTCCTGTCTTCCCTGATACCATCTCAGGGGTCATGGTGACCTTCAGGAAAGAAGAGGTGTTTGTTTCAACAGACAAATCTGGTTTTTGTTTCTATTCCCATTAATATGTAGAACATGTCATTATCTTCAAGTCTAATCACTTAAAGAAGAGATTTTAAATAATTGATTAATGTAAAGGAAGAAAAATGCCACGCTGTCTTTTTCATTACCTATCAAAACCCAGAAAACCTCTTCCTCCAGCCCTGACACAGACACATACATATATTAATGATACACTGAGAAGAACAAGCATACAAATCAATAGACACAAATCTGTTCAGGGTATTTTTCCGAGGGAAAAACCATCATCCTCTCTCTCCATCTCCCACGTGGCCCGCTCCTCAGCACAATGCCAAGACAATTCAAATAACTCCCTTTACTTTACTCTCACAGAATTTTAGGATCCCTCAAACACTCAAAAACCTAACACTTCTTGAACTCTGATAAAATACGTTCTGTTTGTGTGATCACACGTGTGCGTGCCTATGTGCATAAACAGGCTTTAATGTCTACAAGAAATGCTTGTTTGTTTTTTTTTGTGTTTTTTTTTTTTTTTTTTTTTTTTTTTGAGACGGAGTCTCACTCTGTCACCAGGCTGGAGTGCAGTGGCACAATCTCGGCTCTCTGCAACCTCTACCTTGCGCCCGCCACCACACCCAGCTAATTTTTGTTATTTTTCAGTAGGGACGGGGTTTCACCATGTTGGCCAGGCTGGTCTCAATTTCCTGACCTCATGATCTGCCCGCCTCCGTCTCCCAAAGTCCCGGGATTACAGGCGTGAGCCACCGCACCCAGCCGCATTCACACTTTTAAAGTGCCCTTGTTCACGTCACGCTCCGTCCTTACAGGAGGGCACCAAAACAAAACAAACGCAAAGAGGATGCCCTCGGAGCACTTCAGGAAGATACCGAGGAGCACTCTCAGAAGCACCTCCCATGAGAAACAGCGCTTCTCACTCAAGAACCATCAGCTTTCAGCGATGAGACTTTATCAAGCTCTGCTTCCCGCTGCCTGCAAAGAAGCTGGAATTCTCTTCGCCACTGCCTCTAACCTGCTACACCCCTGAAGGTGGAACCCTCCTCCAGGGCCATCTGGAGACACAGGTGCCACTTACCACGAGGGAGAGAGGCCTCTTCCAGGAGACGACGCCTATGAGTCCCGACAGCAGCACCTGGAAGGACAAAAGGCACAGGAAGGTGAGACGCTTCCGAAACCTTTCACGGACAATCAAAACACCGTGAACCGTTTCGACCTGGAGAAGGAGGTGTGGAATACAGCACACACACACAGGGGCCGGGCCACCGTGAGTGGCATTTTGACAGCCTGCAGCCACTCTGAGAGGCACAACGGTCTCTCCGGGCACTGGGACGGGGAGGGGGGGGGTGTCACTTTGTCTACTGCATTAGGTGGCCCAAGAGTGGCTGGCTTTCTGAAATACCCCACCCCCGGTTCTCAATGTGATTTGGCTCTGCTAGGTGCACGCCTGTAATCCCAGCTACTCAAGAGGCTGAGACACAAGAATCACTTGAACCCGGGAGGTGGAGGTTACACTGAGCCAAGATCATATCACTGCACTCCAGCCTGGGAGACAGAATGAGACTCCATCTCTAAATAAATAAATAAGAGCACGATTTAGGGAGAGGGCAAAGGCAGCCCCACCCACGGGCCAACCAGCCACCTGCCATGGCTACATGGGTCCTGGGCACAGCGGGCCCTGCAGGGTCCTTCTCCCCTCTACACACTTGGCTTCCCTGATGCACACCCCTCTGCCCCCTCCAGCCCCTGCGAGCACCTCCCCATCACTCATCACAGCTTCCCACCTCACCCGTAATATGTAGTATCTTCTGACAATGCTCCAGAACTTTCTAGGTCTTGACCCCAAGTGGTCCACTCCTTTCCCAGGCCAAGTCCTGCCCTTAACCTTGCCTGGGGTCCCACCAGAAGTCACCCCCTCTTTTCTGGCTCCTCTCTACTGTCCCGATCACATGAATATGCTGTGACTTTTGTCCCTCAGAAGAACCGCTGCTCATCCCTGTGTCCAGCTCTTGGCCTGCCTGTCTCCTGGGCGGCCTCCCAAGTCCAGGCATCCTGAGGACGACATTGGTTCTGATCGCCACAATCCTGGCTTCCTGGTGTCCAGGAAGGGCCAATGGCTCATGGATACACAGTCACTTCCCACCCACTACCATCTACCTGGCTTCAGCCCCACAACTGCAAGGAAACTTCTCCCAAGGTTCCCCTCTGTCACTGGTCCCCATCACCTGCTGAGGGCTGAGGCTCCCTCCCACACCGGCTCCTGCAGCTCCTTGCTCCCCTGCAGGCTCTTCCCACTTCCTGGGAGGCTGCTCTCCTCCACAGCCTCCCTCTCGGCCTCCTCCCTCTCCCCACCTCCTCCTGCTTCCCCAAGACCTGTCTCCTGAGCCCTTTGGCTCCTGTCCCCGGGGCTCTGTGGGGGCTGTCCTGGGGCTCCTCAAGTGCCACCCACTGGTGTCTGCGCAGGTGATTCTCAGCCCACGATTCTGCCATGGCCACAGCATCACGCCGTCCACAGCCTCCACTCCTGGCATCTGTCCAACCCAACAAATCCAAAAAAGCGGCTGCAGCCTCCGCCTCGGAGCCCCACACTTCCTCTTGCAACCTCTGCTCTCCACAAGGGCGCCCCTTCCCCCCGGTCACTGAAGCCCAAATCCTGGAGACCCTTTCCTCTCTCTCACCCCCGTGCCCAACCAGGAGGAACAAGAGGCTAAGGCTCGCTCTTCCACAGGGCAACAAGTGAGGAGGCCGCATCACAAGGAAAGTGTTTGCAGACCAGGTCTCCTGTGAAGACGAATCGCTCACGCTTGCCACTGTGGCCACAGCCAGGCAGCCAGGGCACTGGCTCGAAGGACTTGACTGCATGTCCCCTGGACTCCAGAAGCACTGGCCAGACCCGGGAGGAGAGCATGCTGCTGGCAGACCCACAAGGTCCCCTTGGGCACAGACTGCCGCTCACCCTCAACCACCTCTGCAAGAGGGCAGGGCCACCTCTCAGACACAGCAGGCTCTGTCACACCCAGCACCAGCCAGTGGTCTCAAAAACATCTGGCTGTGCAGGGTGCAGTGGCTCATGCCTGTAATCCCAACACTTTGGGAGGCTGAGGCGGGCAGATCACTTGAGGTCAGGAGTTCGAAACCAGCCTGGTCAACATGGTGAAACCCTGCCTCTACGAAAAATACAAAAATTAGCCAGGTGTGGTGATGCGTGCCTATAATCCCAGATATTCAGGAGGCTGAGGCAGGAGAACGGCTTCAACCTGGGAGATGGAGGTTGCAGTGAGCTGAGATCGTACCATTGCGCTCCAGCCTGGGTGACAAAATAAGACTCCATCTCAAAATAAAATAAAATTTAAAAATTCTGGCCACAAAGCAACACAAACATGAACCAAAGAGAGCCCACAGGGCTCTGCTCCCAAGCATTGCAAATGTCTGTTTTTTCTGTAAGGCACACAAGTCCTCCAAACACAGTCAACAGTGGCAGACAATAGTTACAGCCATTTCTCACCTCCCGGGTCCCCTCTTATGGCCATGCCACCCAGGCTCCTTGCCTTGCAGTCCAGCTTCAGCCCTAGGGAAATCCTTGACCAATGTCTCCCGTGTCTCTCTGGGGCTGGGTCTCACTAACTCTCCTTCCAAGTGCCCCTGAAACTTCTCTCTTGTCTTCTGTACCCAACACTTGAACCCAGTGGGCGTGCCATGTTCCCAGGTCACTTTACAGCCAGAGGACACTGGCCTTTCTCAGAAGGAGCAGACCATTCCCCCTGGCGCTCTCACTACCATTCCATGCTTCTACCCCACCTCCTTCTTTCGGCGAATTGCAAATTTCTGACCATAATGCCATCATGTTTCGAGCTCATGGTACAGTTCGGGGGCCACTCCATCACAAAGCGTGATCCTTTCTTCCACTCAGCGCCCTCCATTTCCCTGTTCGTCTCTCTACCCTCTGCCAGTGCTCTCCTGTTTTACCTGACCATCACAGCCTTGTCCACTCCCTCTCGTCTCTACCTCCCCCCTCCCCACTGAAGCCATCCTGGACGCCTCTGCCCAATAAACCGCATCTCCCTGGTCTGATAATCCAGGCCCACAAAGCTAGGTTCCTGATTTTCTAGCATCTGAGGCACCTTCCCTGGTGGCCCCGTTCCTGTCCAGGTCAATCCCCTACCTTGCAGTGGGCACCGGGCTCAGCCACAGTGCTGTGGTGGGCACTCATGCTCGGGCCAAGCCCCTTCTCCAGCCACATGCCACTTGATGCTGCTCCCTGTCACTGTGACTCCAGCCACCTGCCGCTCTGGCCTCAGTTCATTATTTGTTTGTTTGGGAGTGGGACACTAGATTATTTTTCCAAAACATCTGCTTTCTCCCCAGACCTCTCCAGGAGGGGCAGCGCAGCTGTCCCTTCCCCCACTTCTCCCCAATACCGGAAACACTGACACAGTTCCAAACACCAAAGCCAGATAGATTGGGAAAGGCATGATACTGCTAACAGAGAAAAGGCTTAGCCCTAATGAGGGAGGGCCTGCAGAATGACTTGAGGGAGGCTATTCACAGCCCAGTTTCTGGGATGTCTCCTCTCTGGAGAGGCCTGCTATGGCCCACTGGAGACCAAGGGCAGTGAGTGTAAAAGAAGTTCAGAGTCCCTGCTCTGGAACCATCGGACCTTGAACTGTTTTTGCTCAATTCCAGCTACCAGCAAGGATTATGCCGCATGTTCTGACATCTCAGTAATGCTGCAGGTTGATTTTGTACCACTCCGATGAGAAAAAGGGTCATGAACCTAGTTAGCCGCGAAATTACCACATCACGAAACCTTCATCCCATTTAATTTATCAGTATCATTAACGAGTCCACAGTTCACAAAGAATATAGAGAAACTGAACAGGGTTGGTGAAAAGTAACATACAATTAAATAGCTGTGGGGAAAAAGCCAAATAGACTGGAAAAGGCAGGATGTAGCTCATGGAGAGGAGGCTGGACCTTGAGCACCATGAGTTGTCACAAAGACACCAAGTTGCTCTTTTCTCCACCTCCCCACCCAGCCTAACAGAGGTAAGAGATAAAATTGGAACAGAGACAGAACTTCCTGCAGTTGCAGGCCACCGGGAAGTAATGGCATCCTTAGAGTCAAAGACCTGCCCGTTTGATTGGTACCTGCCTGGACACGGAGCCCTGAAATAAATTAGCTCTTTAAATCCTGTCCTCTAACACTGAAAAGTTCTTTCATTTCCCAAAATTGAGAATGTCCTTCAGATCATCCAGTCTGGACTAAAGGCAAATGATAGTGAAGGAAGTCCTTCTACAACAGTCTTGAAAGCCAAGTAAATTACTTTCATGAAACATATGGCAGATGGGTGCCCAAGAGCTACAGCGTATCAATTTACCACTAAGAAGGCAGCATTCACTGTGTCTGGAGAAAAAACTGTTGTTGCAAAAACGGAACAAATAATATTCTGAGTCTAGCAACCCCCATCTTCCAAACCTTCTGGGCTGCAGCTCTGTGCTGTGCAACATTATTCCCACAGCGTCCTGCAGCGGCTGATCTTCCTACTTCACCCTCCCTCGATTCTCCTTGCTTTTGGTGTAGCTTTCTTTATCTGGGTCTTGCTGGGGCCACAGAAGGATGGCTGAGGCATACAGGCCTCTGTCATCTGTCTCTACCTGTGGGGACTCAATGCTACCCCCACCCTGTCCATGCTTTCTGCCCGCTCTTCTAGGAGCCACTCCCAACTCACCATTCCCAGCCTTTCATCCCAGGCTGTGGTCCAAACATTCTCCACACCATTTCCCTTTGGGGGCTACACCAACACATCACACTCATAATGTCCCGGAGAGAAGTTACCTTTCATCTCAACCTAATGATGGAAAAAGAACTCTACAGCTTTCATGATCTTCTCAAGCAAAAACAGAACTATAAACTGATGACAAGATCGCCTCATGAAAGAAAAAAAAAAACTCTATTAGTGTGAAAGTGTTTAAAAATATTCTAAATAACTCATGAGTCAAAAGAAACTGAAAGGTGAAATACACCACTGTCTGCTCTGTTGTAACGCATGCTTCTCTGATGCACATTCTCTCTTAAGGGCTTGGCAACAAACTCATTTGTCCTGGGCCTGACCGGCAAGATGCTGCCTT